TATAAAGCCAAAAAGTGAAACTGCCTTCCACTTATCGTGTTTACAAGGAAAGTGCACGGCGCCGGCGCCGGCATCGGCATCGGCATCGCCATCGGCGACGGCGACGACAGACGCAGGTGATGGCAATATGTACAGACACACCTGTGTCTGTACATAAAAATTGCCACATACTTGGAAGATCATAACTGTGGCTTACTTTCTTGTAGCACTTCAGTGAAATTACCTTGAATCTTGGCAAAAACTTGGAGAATTCCTGCTGCCAATTGTGTAGGGTGGATGCAGGGGCAATCACAAGGAAAGGCCCCCAAATGCCATGGTGCTAAAAATGATAAGAACATCCACAGATGTCACAAAATTTGCACTTTTTTCATAAAATATTATCAAGTCAACGTGAACAATAAAAGTTGTTTTGACAAGAAAATTTATGACTTCAAAAATTACTGATTCAAAGCTTTTAAAAGCCTCTGATATCATTTGTGTTTAAGATCATATTGGAATATCATGAAGAATATTACAACAAGAGTTGTAAAAGTTCTAAAATCCCAATCAGATATACAATTTGCTGCATCACGTCACACAAAAATTGCGTATCTCATTTCTTATCAACAGCTAATATTCATCTTACCTCAGCCAAATGAGAGAGAAGTGCAATGCTCTGAACTGTCTTTCCCAGTCCCATCTCATCTGCCAATATACCATTGATGCCTTTATTGTAAAGACTTGCCAACCAGTTCATGCCCTACAGGATACAGTGAACAACAATTAATGTCTGCATTTAAAACTGCTGATCTAATGATTTTAAAAGAATGTTAATCTCCATGTGAACTATATTTTCAGTGACAACACAAGGATTTCTGGTATGTTAGTTTTCCTCCAAGCACTGCATTTCTGTATGTTACCATTTAATATATGAAGGTCACATACTGCAAATAAAAAAAATCCTCATAATTCTGCTAGAATACACCTTACAATAAAACAGAATCAAGCTCACCTTTTGTCTGCTACCATAACACTCTTCCAATCTTGACAAAAAAATATATTGCCAACAAAATACAGAACATAATTTAGCCAAGTAGACAGGGACATTCACATTACCTTCAACTGATAAGCCTTCAATTTGCCTTCAAATATACTAGGCTGTGGCAACTCTTCCTCCATAGTGAGGTCTGGTGTTGACAGGCTAGAGTCCACTGAAACAAGTAAAAAAAATCCTGTATAATTTTCTATCTAAGCGAGTAATTGGATATATGAAATATGAAGTAAATTTTTTACTAATTTGCGAAAACTTCTAGGTACAAACAGGATGGATAATTATCTTTTTAAAGCTTCTTTGTACACACACATAACATAAAAGCTTGTCTACATGTGCCAAATATTCATAAAGGGTTACTTTAAGAATAAAACAATGGTACTCCTCATAATGTGCTGTCACAAACACTTACATGATTTTTTGGCTTTCTGTCTCATCACAACACCACTATCAAATGACTTGGTCTGAAATTGAAAAGTATGCTTTTACTACTGCCACTTTTTCATTGATTGAAACTCAAGATATTCTTCATCAAAACATACAGTTCTCTTGACACTTCTGTGGAAGTTTCTTACTTGAAAAAATGCAATCTTAGTTTCAGCTGCTTTATGAAACTATGACTTAAAGGGGGTATATACCTTGACAGGTAAACTGTTACCAGGGACAACTGATTAAAATATATGATAAAGCATTATAGATCACCGATTCCATTTTTTTTAAAAACTCTTGTTCCAAACAATGTAAAACAATGTTTTTATGAGTGGTAAAATTTTCAGTATCAGAGTTTACTCAAAATCCCAAAATCTTGATTTTGGCCAAGACTATCCATGTAATACTTTTAACTGTCATCATGTAGAAAAGTTATAAATCAACATAATAAATTCTTACTTTTGCCTGGTGAGCTTGGAAAGCATCTGTAGCATTCTTTACGGCTATGTTTTTCATAGATTCACTATCTAAAAAAAACAATAAGACAGTAGTAAGTTACAATGTTGAAAATGCTGCCTAAATGACATAAACGCCATTATAAAAAGTGGTAGATAGTGCAATTACACATGTAATCAGCTTTCAACAACCAAAATATAGCTTGATAAACGGTAACTGTATGTTTATATTGTACAAAAAACATTTCTTGATTTCTGAGGTTGACAACTTCTGAAACTCACTGTAATTGTCTCCCTTCATATCCGTAACCAATCCACCAGATACCTCCAGATGGCGCTTGGAGTCTCCGTCATCATCATCCAATCTCTGTAAAATCTCTTTCTGCATTGTGTCATTACCTCCTGCTACCTTGCGACTCATGAAATGGGCATACAGTTCTGTCTGGGTGATTAAGAAATTCAACTTCCTTTGCTGCCTTTTTGCCTTTAATAAATATAAACAAAAGCATAGCTAAGAAATCTAATTCTGTAATTAATACCACAGAGTTACAACAGTGACAATTTGAGATTGCTGAAGACCAATTTAAGGGAAATGACAAAATAGCAAATATTAGCAATATTGACAAAAATATGTCTCAAGTTAGTGGGAAAATAAGTCAAAGTTAAGTCCAACTCTTATTTTTGTAAAAAAATCTAACAGCAATGCTGCTATGCTTCATACAAATCCTGAAACTTAACCAACACATCATTCTCTTTTAATGTTGGTGGGCTAGAAATACAATACCTCCATTAACTCCAAATCCATTTTCCTCTGTTCTTGGGCTTCTTTTTCTGCCTTTTTACGAGACTCTTTCTCCACTTTTTCAAATCTCTTCCAGTAGACTAACATCTCCCTAGTTAGCCGACGTGCTCTCTGTAAACTATCTTTAGTGCTACGCTGGAACTGCAGTGCTTTCCTACGGCTCTCTTTCATGCATTCTTTTGCTAGCTGAAATTACATTTAAAAGATTTTTTTTAATTTCCATTTTCATGTTAACTTCTCCTTTATCAGCTTATATAGTACTCACACTATCATATGGTACAATGGTATATTTTTGGGAAAAAGTACAAATACACAAAGTGTAAAATACCTTCCTCGCATTTGAAAACATTTCTTTACGTGTTGATGTCCTTTGTTTCTGAGCCTGAAATACAATTAAAAATAATATAACGTTCCTTTAAGGGATGAACCAAAATATCTGATAAAACTTAACAACTTTTTTATCACTATACTTATTTCCTATTGTTATCACAACAACAATTTAATCTAAAAGACTGAATCATTCTAAAAGAAAAACCATTAATACATTGATTAAAAAAAAAAAAAAAAAAAAAAAGATGAAGAATCAATGTGGCTATAAAAATGTCCAATATACCTTAGGAACTTCTTTCTTCACTATGCTCATCCACATTCTTTTTCTCTTCACCAATGCTTGCTCTGGTGTTAGTCTCTTCACCTTGACCACCTTCAGAGTATGGGTGGAGTGGTGAATAGGAGGACTCTGTAATCAAAAAGCCAAAACTTTATCCATCAAAGCACTACATTGAATAAAATGATAAAAATGTAAATATTTAGCTATTAACGTAAACCTTATCATCATTTTCTTATTCAAAATCAGCAACAAAAATTTAGCATCTTGTGCAACATACCTTAAGTTCATCTGACCCTCTTTCTTTCTTTAGCTTCTTCAGCTTGGCTTCAAAGGCAAAAATTAAATACCATCATTAGTAATCATGCATTGCCTGTATGCAGAAGAACAAATTTTGTCTTATGCCTGTCAAAATATGGTCCAACATCTATTCTCTAAAGTAATGTCATAATTTTGATTGTATGATGATAAACCACAACTTAAAGGTAAAGTAATATACATACCTTTCATAAGCTTTTTCTCTAATTTTTTCTGTTCATCTTTAGGTCCCTTCTTTTTAGGCCCAAGAATCTGCTTGTGGTGGTCATGATATTTGTCGTAGTTAGACAGTAACCCCACACTATAATACTGATACTGATGTAACTAAAATGTAAGCACATCCAAAATTTGAGTATATACTATCCAAACATAGGTTTTATAGCAGATAATGAATGATTTGCACTAAATTATCCTATTTTTAGGAAATAGGTAATAGAGATTCATTGACTTAGTTCCTATTTTTCTCCCCATTACAGGGACAGTATGTAAAACGTACAACAAAAACAAGATAATAAACTGAATAATTTTCTTGCATTCAACTTTATCAAGTTTATCACTTTATCAAGTTCCAAACACAAAATAGTCTATAAAAAAAATTTCCAATTTGGCTTCAGCAAATGGAATGTCCACATGCCTTCCCTTTCATTGCCACCCCCCCCCTCTCCCTCTCTCAGGAATAGAAAATTATTATGAAAAAATAATGTAATGTGCTCCTGAACATAAATGCCTGCTACCTGATAAGAAAATAGGAAGATTTTTTACAACACAAGTCCATATATAAGTTCTATAATATTCCATACCTGTGGGTCATTGTAAAACTGTATCTGGCACTGTCTCTGTAGTTTGTGTATTCTGAGCATTTCTTGCATTTTTTCAGGAGTCATTTCATCATCGTCCTCATCAGACGAACTATCACTTAACAAGATGTTCTGAAATTTGACAGGTTGGCTAAGTGACAGATGCATACTGCAGTGTTTGAGAGGAATTAAACCCATTGGATAACTGCATAACTTTATTATACATACTGAATTTTAAATCTTTTTAAGTTAGTTCAGTTAAAACCTGTTTATAACACACCTGATTAATATCATTTTATTTCTTTTAACCCTTAATCATATCTGAGATTTTTTGGCATTGGCAATATACAATGCCTCTGCCTTTTTTGCTTTTTCCCCCCAACATTATGGTTATTAGTATTTATCAAAATTTGCTATTTTAAGTCAGCTATTGCCAAAGAAAAACAAAATATCGATGGATTCATTAAATGTTATCATTTTTACTCTTTACCTTTAACCATTTTCTACTTTTCTTTACTTTAGTGAAGTTATAGAGCCGGGTCTTGTCTGCCCTCCTCTCTGAAACAAAACAAGAAAATTCCTCTCAAAATATATATTATCTAATAAAACCTTACATTCTTCTCAAAAAAATGTTTCTTTTTTCTTAAAAAAAAATAATAAAATAAATAAATAAATAAATAAATAAATAAATAAATAAATAAATAAATAAATCAGGTAAACTTAAAATATAACTACCTGGCTTTGTTGTAGCAACCCCATTAACTATTTTCATGCCCTCTGCGTCAGATAATTCAGTATCTGTATCTGTGGTGTCTGAATCACTGAAATATAAATTAAAGAATGATATTGCAGGTTTTAGCTAAAGCTGAAGTAAATCAGCAAATGAACATTTATATTAATATATTTTATTCAACTAAAGACAATTTTAACACTTAAAC